AAAATACATATGTAATTATGGGAGTGTTTGAACCACATTATTTTGGTAATAATGCATTGTTGAATAGTGTACCGATAGGAAATGTATGGTTAAAAAATAAAGAAAAGTTTTTAATTTGCGTGTAATATTATTTTATTTAAGAATGTGTGGTTAAAATGATATCAAATTACTGTTTAAGAATACATTTTTTTAGAATAACGTGGCTCAAATAGGCCCTATATACAATTTCGAAATTAAGAAAATTGTTTTCAAGTTTTAAAAATTAGGTCATAATTCAAATTTTATTAAATAAATAGATAGATAATTCAAAATATCTTATTAATTAAATAGATAATTAAATATATTAAATTCACAATGTTATGCAATTCTTGGTACAATTACATACTAGTCACCACAAATCATAAATTATCAAATCAATTGATCATGCATTATTTTTCGATTACAAATCACAAATTTTATGGATTACAACTTATTATCAATCACAACTTATAAAATTAATAGGTCACACATTATTTCTCGATGATAAATAACTAATTTTATAGGTCACAACTTATTTTATGATCACAACTTAACAAATTGTTAATTACAACTACAAATTTAGTCACAATCTTACATTTTTAGGTCGTATATTATTTAATGATCACAAATTATTTATTTTATCCATCAAATATTATTTATTGGTTACAAATTGATTATTTTATTAGTCGCAATCATCCAAATAATTGATTACAAACGATCTTCACACCACCACACCACTGCCAATCGAATGTTGCACCGCCAACACCACTGCCATTGCAACCAGGGGCGGATCTAGCACCTGGCGAGTTGGCGTGGCCGCCGTGCTGGATCCGCTGAGAAAAAAATTATTGAAAATTTGTGTTAAATATTTATAAATATATGGTTTTGTGCAAAAGATTTAACAAAACGGGAACGCGGCTTGGGTGGCAGCGTCCTGGCCTTTGCATTAACAATACACAGGTTCGATTCCGTTGGCTAGCGTTACGCCATTTAATTTTTAAACAGAATAATTAAATATTAATAAAATATTGCACCGGCCTTCACTAAAGCAGGGGCAGCTCACATGGTAGAGGGGTTCTTCTTTGTATGTAAGAGGTATGGGGTTTAATTCTATATTCATCCAGTTTTTTAATTAATTTTTTGTTATAATAAATAATAACTAAATAACTATAGTTTTCGTTTTCAAAATAATTTCTTTAAAAAATTTATTCACTCAAATTATTACTTCATAATATACATACTTTTATCATTATGTTTAATCAATTTATTTTATAAAATTCAAATTTGGATAATCTAAGAATTGCTCTTTATTCTTTTAAGACTTTGAAAAATAATTTTATTTTGGCATAAAAAATAGTTCTAATTCTGAAAATCATTGTTTTCAAAATTTGGTTTTGGTGTTAATTTTTATGACTTATGAATAATGATTTATGTTCGATGAGTTAATTGGCAATTTGACATTAAAATGAGAATTGTGAATCTATTGTTGGGATAAATAATTTATGTTGTATGAGTCATTGAGTTATGAGTTATAAATCATTTATGAGTTTTGATTTGTCATTTGGGAATTTATGTTTAGGAATTTAGGATAAGTGAAAAAAAAATTCAATTGAGAAGATGTTGGGCTCAATTCAATCATGTGTGCTTTGTTTTTTAATCAATTCTAATTGAAAATAATTGGGGCATTTTTGCATATTATTAAACGATTTTTTCAACCGAAAACGAAAATCCATATCTATTTATTCTAATTTTAATTGTGTATCTAATTCTTTTAATTTTAGTCCATACGGTTTTTTGAATATTATTCAATTAAATATTAATAAATGACAATGTCTCACTATCACAAGCGTTGACTGTTGACGGTAAATGTTCAATGTTTGCGGTCCACCGTAGCTGAATTCGAAGCCTAGATTCGTCCCTGATTGCAACACTACCACTAACAACCACCATTTGAAACTACAAAACAACCACCATTTGTAAACCACCAATAACTACCAACAAAAACAACCCCAAAACTTCGACTAAGCAGAACGTGTTAAATCGAAAGAGGAAGGAATCACCACAAAACCATCATCGTTGCGAGCAATGCTGTGTGCAGTAGTGAATGAAGGTTGAAGGGCAATGGAGGATGCGATATTGAAGATGAAATGAAGGTGGTTGTCAGGGGCGAATGTAGCTCTTGGCGAGAGGGAGTGATTATTGGAGTAGGGTTTTGAGAGAGAGAGAGGGAGAGGGAAAGGCAGAGGGAGAGGGAGAGAGAGATTGATTGATTGATTTAATAATAATTATCATTAGTATTAAAAATTTGAATTATAACTTGCTTTTTGAATAATTTTCTTTTAAACTTGATTTTTGAAGTTGAAAATCACGTGGGATGTAATTTCCACGTAAGATTAGGTGAACCAACATGCAACATCCCAAAAATCGACACGATATAGGCTGACCCAAAATCAACGAGGCCTTTTAATGAGTCCAGAATAGGGTCTTCAATACAAATATTTTTTTGGTGAAGTTGTGGTTTCCTACAACTAGGTTTCATGGCTATTAGTCAACCAAAAATAACGAGGCTGGCATAAAAGAAACAACGAAACATCTCAGGGGAAGCCACGGAAAGTTGAAAACCAAACTAATGGCCAAGAATTAAATAATTAACAAAAAGGAAAAAGAAGATTAATGGAAATTGGGAGCAAAATCTTTCATTATCTTAGAACAAAGAAAAAAAAGAAAAAGAAAAGAAAGAAAGAGATCAAAACAAAGCCTCTATGCTTGCTTTCTTTGCCGTTCTACAGACAGGGCATGATTTGAGAAAAGCATGACAATCTTTGCATGAACAAAGGTGCCTACAGGGCAGTATAATTACACTAGAATTACGATAATTGCATCTTTGACAAACCATATTCCTCATTCTCCGTTCTCCATCTTCTTCTTCGTATTCGATTATGTCGCAACATGATTCTGCATCTTCTGCCACGTTATTGTTTGGCAAATGACTCTCTCTGAGATGTTCAATTGTGTTCTTCAATGACATGACCATTGCTTCTTTTTCCTTGGCCACTCTTTGCCACGTTTGATTCTCAGTCTCCATTCTTCTCACCAAATTTTCAAGCTCCATTGCTTTGTTAACTGCTTTCGCGATTTCTTCATCCTTACGTTGGAGTAAAAATTGCGTCTTTAATTCGGATTTTTTCAAGAAATAAGATATTTGCTGCTTTCTCAGCTCTTGCAAAGCTAATCTCAATCTGTCATTCTGTTCCAAAAAAGCCCTCCAAAAATCAATACAATTGGATGCGTAAAGATTCCAATAAAATGGAATATATGGATTAAAAAACAAACCTGTAAGGTTACAAACTGATCAATCTCGAGCTTCTGTTTCTCAATCTCGTTGACAAGACTCAGAGAAAAAGAATTGTCAAGCGAAAAATTCTGATTTTTCTGAGAGAAATTTTGCAACTGCATGAATTGTTGTTGTTGAGTATTCAAAAAGAATAGATTCGATCCACAAGAATTTTCTATAAAATCTTCATCTCCGTTTGAAGGAAATTCAAGATTTTCCGAATACAACTGCTGAATTGCCATTGATTTCAAGTATCACTGACTCCAAGAACAAAACAAATCTCTTTTCGTTCTTCGAAACCCTCTTTCCAAAGAAAACTCAGCAGAAGAATCAAAGATTGGTTACATGCTAATTGCTGAAGAGTATTTTGTATTTATATTGAAAATAACTAAGTATGTATATTCATAGTAACTGAAGAGATCATATATAATAAGATATACATAAATACCTTTTTCAAAAGGGAAGCATGCAAAGAACGTAAACATAGATAGGATCAGAGATTTTGAATGAGAAATTTAATTGCAAGTGAGAAGTTTGAGGTTCTAATAAATAAGTTTCCATTTTTCAAAATATATTTTGAATTTTTAATTAAGAGAGAGAATCAGAGATTAATTTATTTATTTATGTTGAGTTCTTAGTCATATGTAATTGCAGAAGAATAGGCAAATTCGAGATTTTCTTGCCATTAATTCACCATTGATTTTCTGCATTCTTTTTAATGTTAGTTGTCTAGGTGACCCGCAATTGCCGTGTATATATTTATTTGCCTTTTATTCTTATTCTAGAAACAAGTTGACCTTATAGTTTTAATTACTTGTGGAAAAAAATAACATAATAATCAAAACTAAATATTTCTTTGTTATCGTGTTTAATTTCGTCCAATCTTATATTTGTCCGACTACAAATCTATACAGAAAAAGATTGTTAAACCCAGGTAAAATTATACAAGCATATGAATTAGACGTCACGTAATATTGTAATTATGTGTTGTCAAATTGATAAAGGTATCAAATTAAACTTTATCGAAATGTACTAAAATCTTATTTCTAGCAAAAATCAAACAGAAATTAAATCATTAATAGAAGATAGAATTTGGAACGGATTCTAAGCAATTGTTGGTAAAAACTAGAAATAAATTCTACGGATTCACATCAAAAGGATAACTCACCAAAAAACGCGTTACAGCTTATTATACTTTATTAGTTACTTGGTTGTTAAGTCAAACTCTGTCACTGATTTTTTTGGGTGTTATTTTTATTTTATCTTTAATTAATAATTATGAATTTTACTCCATGTTTGTGGAGATAATTACGGTGCTATACTACTTAATTTCTTAAACACACAGTCTTGATAAATATAAAACGTCTCTATATTGGTCAAGATTTAACCAAAAATATAAAAAATTCAAAGATAAAGATGGTGGCGTCAACATATCTATCTCGATCTCGCCATCATATGTATCTTTAACGTTTGATTAAATTAGCATGAATTTTCTCTGGTACAAGTCATGCATGATATCGATATTTTAGCAATAAGAACACGACGACGAAAGCCACCATCAAATCTAAATTGATCAAGCCATTTTTAACTTCAATTTGATTAATTCACTATACAAAATTTTTGAAAGAATTAATTATTGTATCTAGAAATTAAGGTGAATGGGAAGTCAAAAAAATTAGGCACGTTCCAACAAGTCAAGCACACTTTTCCATTAACTTTTGTCGACAACTTTTCTCCAAGTCAGTATGCATTATTATCATGATAGGGCGGTTAGATTCAATTAGATGAACAAATCAATGGACACATCAATGATAGTTAGGTTAAAATTTGTAATTGTGCGATAATATCGGAATGGATTATAATTCTTTTTGTGTGATTATATTGGAAATGAATTATTATTGTCAAATAATTCGTCCTATTTTCAATGAATAAGTTAATGTAAAACATGCTCAATTAATTGATTGAAAACTCCAAAAGTTGAGATTCCACTTAACTACCATTTTGTCATGTACATTTCTACCACCCCTATTAAACTTCTTATCTATCCTTGATAATATAATTTAGAGCATGTCTTTAATAACTTGGACGATGTCATGTTTATCGTAGATTGCTTTAAAAAAGTTGTCACACTCGTAAAATAGATATTTTACAATAAATTCCTCTTCAATACTTTGTCGTGTTGAAGGTGCAAAGAGTAATAGATATAATCAAGGACTCTATTTGCATTATAGATAGAATACATTGAAGACTCTTTCTTCATTACACATCAATATCACATATACCGCAAGTTTTTAACTTGTGTGCGAACAATCCACAAAATGCAATGGAGATGCTCTATATATCATTTTAAGTGAGATGTTTTAGTAATTTAAAAGAGTCACGAGAATGATTTGGATAAATTATTTTGAGTAATACTATTTAGTACCACTAGTGTTACAACACTGGTTCAGTGACACTAAGTAATATTAAATCAGAATCACATTTAAATGAATTTAGTATCATCTGAACTAGTATTATAGCACAATTAGTGCTGGATTGGATTATTCTATATTTTTGTTCATGTTAGAAAATGATGTGTCACTTCCTAATTCAACTTTGATGAAGCTGAATAAAAAGTTCGTGAGTTGAGCAGAAAATATATTTTTCAGTAAGAACGCGAGTACTCACCCACTTTTATAGGTAAATGCTTGGAAGGTGCCACCTTTAGTCATGTCAAGCTACAATAACCTTGCATTAATCTCGACCTTCTATGATTGGTGGAATAAGGGGACGCGGTGTCGCAATGATTGCCTGCAACGTAGGTGACTGAGTAGGCTTTCTTATCAAACTCCACATTGATCAATTGGGACGTACCTCCAATCATAGTGGACAAATTACACCCTGATGACACTGCTAAAAATCCCATTAAGTAAGGTCAACCTAACAGTTAGTCTCTTATTGGTATGTGCTCCTTAGTGGTTTTGTCCGCATATTGCCTTAAGAAGTCATTTGGTATATCCACATTGTGGCTTCCAGTCATGGCCAGATTGCAGTTTCTCGATCCATGGATTTGATTCATTGTAAACACGAACATGGATGAAACCATCTTGTCCCAAATTTGTATTATAAGTGAATAGTGGAAGAGGTGTCACCCGAGTCATATCAAGTACACTAGCATGAAAGGCGTGAAGTACTGAAGTGGTAATCTCTGCCTTTTATAATCGGTGAAATAAGGTAGTGACAATTACGATGACGAAATGATTGCCTTTGACCTAAGCTGATGGTGTAGGCTATCTAACCAAACTATCCATTGGCGAAATGGAGCCAAAACGTTGTCATATGGGAAAATTCATTCTCCTTTTCATGTTATCTCTGCTAATTACACCTTAATGACACTGCTAACAATTCCGTTATGTACGGCTGAGCTCAACCCCACGATTCATCTCCTGGCAGTTCGGAGTCACCTTATTTTTTTACCAACATATCTATGAATGTTGTTAATACTATCACTTAGACTAGTGTTAGCACTAGTAGTGCTGCGTAACATTCTTCAATCTTAAAAAGTTAAAACTAGCCTTGCTCATTTTTAAATAAATACTAGCATCAACGACGTCAATACACCAATCTATTTGATATTATGTGATATGTTCATAAAGGTGAAATTATATAATTTATTAATTATACATTTTATTTAATGAAACTTAATGCCGTCTAGACTTGTATTATGATATCAATGATATTAAATAGCATTACCCTTTTTAAATACGCGATCAGACAATAAATTCATTAAAAAGTTTGTGAACAAGTCAAAACAATTGTAGCATCCAAAGTCGAGGGAATTATGAACATGTTTGTCTCATTAATATCACATTGGCCACCTACTAAGGTGGCACGAGTCATTAGGTGCTTGGCCCGCAATTCTGCATTCCATGTGAAAATCACAAATTATACGTTACATTTCACGCACATCATAATCTGCTCAGTCTTCTTCGCTGATTTCCCAGCAATGCTGCACCTTCCCAACTACTTAAATTTCCCCATCTTTTTGGACTATATGTTATGTGTGTGAACTATACTACAAAATTGTTCATATTCAAATATAATTAAGATTGATTTGGTGTAGGTAAAAATCATATTTTTAATAAATTTTGATAAAAGTCGATAAGTGTGGTTGAAAATTGTGAATTTTATGAAAGTTGTTAGAAATAATTATTGATTTTGACTCAAATTTTCATTAAATTTTTAAGCTACACCAAACATGGGGAGTCTAAGAGTTAAGAGTTCTCCATTCTTACAAAATTGTATAAAAGTGCACAATTAGCACTCGACTTTTTGAAAATGGAAAATACGATATCAACATTTCATCATAATTGAACGACATGTTTGTAGTGATAGACACCATTTAAATGTTTCTCAAATTGTCACATGGTCTTCACAAAAATATACCTTAGTTTAAATTATTGAACTATAGTTCAAGTTGGTAGGCAACGAATGGATAGAGCTTTAGACGGTTTCGTTACTACAAGTTAATTGTAAGACGATAATGAAACCTTGATCGAACAATTACAAAGATTGGAGATCAACTTCCTATTGAAACAATACTGGGGGACTAATTGTACAATTTTCCAAATAGAGATAAACCATTTATACAATATTGTCTTAGATATCGCCCAGTTTGGTTTAGATAAAAATTAAATTTTTAATATATTTTAATAAAAATTGATGAAATGTTTTGTTGAAAACTTATATTTTAATAAACTTTTTATCTTAACCAAATGGAGGCATAAGATCAAAGGATATTGCACAGATATTTGTTTGTTTTTAAGTCAATTTCACAATGTTCATTGAAGTTTGAGTGAATTTGAAGCTGGTCCTTAAAGTATCATTGAAGGTATTTAAGGTATGCAAATGGTAACTCTGTTAGTTAAACTAACACTTAATCTTATATAAACTCTTTAATTCCCACTTGAAAGAACGTATGTTAATCACAATTCGACATAAAAGCCCGATTGTTGTAAGGCTTCCCAATTTCATCTCTTATTTAACCATAATCCTCAATCAATTATCAATGTGTTAGTGATCTGAAAATGAGCGAGCAACCCGAACCATATGATGACCTCCAACACTTAAGTTTAGGATATAAACCAACCTAGCTTGTTTCGAGTTAGTTCATGAGATGGTTCACCAATTATGGCAAGACATGCTAGGTCGAATTCCTACCTAACGTCATATGAAATATGTTATTAAAAAGTTGATAAATATTATGGATCTCATGATATATGTAATTAAATTACATTTAAAAAAAAATTGAAAAACAGGCCAAACATGATTGGAAAATTCTCCAAGTACAGGGGAATTCTTAACTGAATTCCTACAGTGCAGGTTTATTTATGAGGCATTTTCAAGAATGTCCAATTTTAAGGGTATGAATTGAAAAATGTCCACTCATTTGAATTTAGTGTCAATTTGTCTATTATGCCTTTAATGAAAAGCTACATTTTGAAATGGTATTCTCGACATTTGATTTTTTTATCAATTTGTC